ACACATGAAAAGACCTAGGTTTACAATTTATGATTAAAACTCTACTATCTACACAATATACATAGACATAAAATGTAAAAACTTAAATATCTTAGAAACAGTAGCCAATCAGTTGTTTTAATTGTCATATTTGAATTCAGCACATCAACATACATAATAAATAGCACATTTTATCTCTGAAGCAGACGGCTTCTCAAAAATTGTAGACCAGTGTTATCTGTATAATGGGGATATGTTCATAGTGACTTTCCTTTGCTAGGTTTTTTCGAGTTCCTTCAATGAAAGGTGCTGCACAGTATGATGATTGTTACTGATGAGAATTACTGATCTGTGATCCCTTAGCAACAACTCTGTCTGTTTGCAGAAAGGTCACGGAACATGGAAACCCTTCAGACATCTGTCCCCAGAGCTGTCTATCTATTATCTACCCAGCCATCCTGGACATATACAGGGTATCAGACCGTATGGAAACATAGGCATTATCCCTCGTTTTCTTAGTAATCAACTATGATTTTTAAATATACACAAATGCACAGAGCAGCCAATTCCTCTCTGACTCAGCACAGAGCCCCAGAGTTCTCATCTCCCTTTGGGAAAGTCCCTTAATTACTGTTTACTCCTGAAGGTGAATAAAGAACACAGAACCGCAGGCAGGTTTGTCTCCAGCCTGTTTGCATCCAGATTCTGCATCTCTGTTAGAGGCTGAGCGAACTCCACTGGGATTGCACAGAGCTGTAATATAAATGGTGCACACACCTGTGTTGGATCTCGGCATTAGATATTGATGCAGATGCTGGGGTGAGAGAGGTGTGGGACACAGCTGCCTAAAGGGGATTCCCAGGGAAGACACTTCCATCTCACAATTCACAGATACTCGTCTCTTGCTGAGGAGCTCACCTGGTCAACAAACTCAGTGCAACGTGGGACTGATCTGATAGAGAGTAAGTCTGAGGAACTTTCCATTCTCCACAGCTATTAAATATCCCAGGGCTCTTGCCACAGGTGATGAGTTGGCTCCAGAATCATTGGCCAAAATGTCCCTCTTGGCTGGATCCCCCTGGCTGATGACCTCCAGCCCCAAAGTGCTGCATTTCAGTGGCACAGGGGATCCTTCGTGATGAAAGTTGTTAGTAGATGGACAATACAAGATCAAATTCTGAGGCCCTGGCTCGTACATTGCTCAGGCCCCATTAGGTGAAACTCCCCTTGGAGTCAGCTGTGAGTTAATGCACAGAGACTCTCACCTCGTCCTCTTGCATCATAGGGCTCTTACTGTTAAATGCGGGGCGGGGGGCTGTTCCCTGACTGTTATCTGCTGTAAGGCATGGAGGTACTATTCCTCACTGCCAAGACCTCTTCTTTCCTAGCTTCATTAGAGAAGTTGGCTTAACTGTCATGCCTGAAACTTTCAAGAATAATTCTGCCAGAAGCAAACACCCAGTATGGAAAATTTCAGTCCAAATGGTTAAAGTGTGGCAAACTCAAAATGAGGTCTTCTAATTGAAGGTGTCAGACAGCCTTAACTAAGATTGGTGCCACCAGCACAATTTACAATGGCCAATCCATTTGTAAATCCCATTCAGCTAAGCTCGTTGCTCCAATAATGCCTTGGCAAGGAGTTCCACAGGCCAAATATATATTATGGGGAAAAAATCTTTTGTCAATGTTATATGTTCAGACTTTCAATGTAACTGAATGTTCCCTTGTTCATGTGTTATGAGACAGAGTAAATATAACTGTTTGATCTACTTTTTTATTGATAGAGTCATAGAGTTTAAGGCCAGAAGGGACAATTAGATCATCCAGTCCAACCTCCTGTATAACACAGGCCATTACATTTCACCCTTTTACCCCTGTATGAGCCTAAAGACTTGTGTTTGACTAAGAACTGGTCTACATTAGGATTTTACATCATAGAACCATAAAACCACAGGGTAATCTAACCTAGTCCCCTGCTGAGATGCAGGATTTGTTGTTTGTAAGCCATCCAACACAGCTGGCTATCCAGTCTCCTTTTGACACCTTGCAGTGAAGGTGCTTCCTCAACCTCCCTAGGCATGTGTTCCATATTCCTCCTGTTCTTACAGTTAGGGAGTTTTTCCTGAGATTTCATCTAAATCTGCTCTGCTGTACTTTGAACCTATTGCCAAAGAGAACATTTTTTCTCCATCTTTTTTATGGCAGCCTTTCAAGTATCTGAAGACCACTGTCATGTCCCCCATCAGTCTCCTCTTTTCCATACTAAACATATTCAATTCCTTCAGTGTTTGCTCTTATGGCTTGCATTCCATCCCTTTGATCATCCTTGTCACTCACCTCTGGATCCTTTCCAGTTTCTCTACAAGCTTCTGTCATAAACAGATAGTTAAGGGTTAATGCCTCTTTTACCTGTAAAGGGTTAAGAAGTTCACCTAGCCTAGCTGACACCTGACCAGGGGAACCAATGGGAGGACAAGGTGGTTCAAAGGGAAAGAGGGAAGTTCCCTTTGTCTAAGTGAGAGTTTCACTTTGAACCGGAGTGGAAAAGCTCCAGAATTTAGCCTCTTATTAAGTAGTGAGTATTAGTGAAGGAAATAAATAGGTTTATGTTTATTTCTTTGTAACCTGTCTTGTGCAATTAGAGGAATCACCAAATTGGGTATTTGGGTATTCTTTGTGGAACTAAGTTTTTGCCCAGGGGAACATCCCCTGTGTTTGGAATCTGTTGTCTGTGAGAGTAGCTGGTATGCTAATCTCTCCCAGAGGGCCTTCTTTTACTTTTCTTTTCTTTAATTAAAAGCCTTTTTTTTAGAACCTGATTGATTTTTCCTTGTTTTAAGATCCAAGGGGTTTGGATCTGTGTTCACCAGGAAATTGGTGAAGTCTCTCAAGGCTACCCAGGGAAGGGAGTTAGCACTCGGGAGTGGTGGCAGCAAAACCATATCTAAGCTGGTAATTGAGCTTAGAGCGTCTCATGCAGGTCCCCACATCTATACCCTAAAGTTCAGAGTGGGGAAGGAACCTTGACAGCTTCCTATACATTGGTGACCAGAACTGGTCACAGTACTCCATCTGAGGCCTAACCAGCACCGAGTAGAGCAGTATTATCACCTCTTGTGTCCTGCATGCTCTGCCTCTGCTAGTGCAAAAGAAAATTGCATTACCTTTTTGTGCAACAGAAAAAAATCCACACCTGTCAGACAGCATGAGGTCAACGGAAGAATACTTTCATCGACCTAGCTACCACCCCTCGGGGAGGTGGATGAACTACGCTGATGGGAGAACCTCTGCCATCACTATGAGTACTGTTTACACAGACGCGCTACGGCAGTGCCACTGTAGCGTTTTAAGTGTAGACGAGCCCTCAAGCAGATCTTCCAGAAAAGCCTCCACTCTTCATCTGCAGACATGGGGAGTTGGAACATCCACCACTTCCCTTCGCAGTTTGTTCCAATGGTTAATCACCCTCAGTGCTAAAAATGTGGCCCTTATTTTCAACGGAAATTTGTCTGGCTTCAGCTTCCAGCCATTGGGTCTTGTTCTGCCTTTCTCTGCTAGATTACGGAGCCCATTAGTACCCACAGTTTTCTCCCCAGGAAAGTCTCCGTTTGATCGTATTTTTCATAAGATAAGTGGATGAAGCTCTTTAAATCTCTCTTGCTCTGTGAGGCATTTTCTCCAGTCTCTAATCATTTGTGTGGCTCTTTTCTCGACCCTCTGCAAGTTTTCAACATCCTTTTTGAAATGTGGACCCCAGAATTGGATGCAGTCATTTTAACCAATGCCACATGCAGAGGTAAAGTCCTTCCCCTGCTTTCCAACTCACCGCACCCTCTGTATGCATCCAAGGATCACATCAGCCCTTTTGGCCACAGCATTGCACTGGGAGCTCATGATGAGCTGGGTGTCCACAATGATTCCTGAATCCTTTTCAGAGTCCCTGCGCTCCATAATACAGTGCCCTAGTCTGTCGGTCAGGCCTGCATTCTCTGTTCCAAGAGGATAACTTTGCATTTGACTGTATTAAAATATTTTTTCCCATGGGCCCAGAAACGCTCCAGATCAATTGGTGTGCCTGCCCTGGGTTCCTCATTGTAAACACTCTGTCAGTCTTTCGATCATCTGCAAATTTTATCTGCAGTGATTTTCCATTTCCTTCCACATCATTGATGAAAACTTTGAATAGCATTAGGCCTAGAAATTATCTCTGCAGAACCCCAATAAAAACAACCCCATTCACTAACAATACCCCACTGACAACTGCTTTCTGAGATCTCTCAATTAGCCGGCTTTTAGTTCCTTTTATGTGTGCACTACTGATATTGAATAGTGTTCATATTTTAATCTGAATAGTTTCCCCTACTAAATCAAATGTCTCAGAGAAATCAAAGGTTATTGCATCTGTGCGGTTCCCTTGATCAGCCAAACACAAACTCTCATAAAAGGATGAAATCAGCTGTATTTGACAAGACCTGTTTTCCATAAACCATGTTGCTGACATGCATTAATTATATTCCTAGACTATTTTTTTAACTACTCCAATACCAGCTTTTCCACTGTTTCCTAACCTTCTCAAATCTTTTATTTTAAATCATAGAATCATAGAATATCAGGATTGGAAGGGACCTCAGGAGGTCATGTAGTCCAACCCCCTGCTCAAAGCAGGAACAATTCCCAACTAAATCAACCCAGCCAGGGCTTTGTCAAGCCTGACCTTAAAAACCACTAAGGAAGGAGATTCCACCACCTCCCTAGGGAACCCATTCCAGTGCTTCACCACCCTCCTAGTGACATAGTGTTTCCTAATATCCAACCTAAACCTCCCCCACTGCAACTTGAGACCATTGCTCCTTGTTCTGTCATCTGCTACCACTGAGAACAGTCTAGATCCATCCTCTTTGGAATCCCCTTTCAGGTAGTTGAAAGCTGCTATCAAATCCCCCCTCATTCTTCTCTTCTGCAGACTAAACAATCCCAGTTCCCTCAGCCTCTCTTCATAACTCATGTGCTCCAGCCCCCTAATCATTTTTGTTGCCCTGCGCTGGACTCTTTCCAATTTTTCCACATCCTTCTTGTAGTGTGGGCCCAAAACTGGACACAGTACTCCAGGTGAGGCCTCACCAATGTTGAATAGAGGGGAATGATCACGTCCCTCGATTTACTGGCAATGCCCCTACTTATACAGCCCAAACTGCCGTTAGCCTTCTTGGCAACAAGGGCACACTGTTGACTCATATCCAGCTTCTCGGCCACCGTAACCCCTAGGTCCTTTTCTGCAGAACTGCTGCCTAGCCACTCGGTCTCTAGTCTGTAACAGTGAATGGGATTCTTCCATCCAAAGTGCAGGACTCTGCACTTGTCCTTGTTGAACCTCATCAGGTTTCTTTTGGCCCAATCTCTAATTTGTCTAGGTCCCTCTGTATCCTATCCCTACCCTCCAGTGTATCTACCACTCCTCCCAGTTTACTGTCATCTGCAAACTTGCTGAGAGTGCAGTCCACACCATCCTCCAGATCATTAATGAAGATATTGAACAAAACCGGCCCCAGGACCGACCCTTGGGGCACTCCGCTTGAAACCGGCTGCCAACTAGACATGGAGCCATTGATCACTACCTGTTGAGCCCGACGATCTAGCCAGCTTTCTATCCACCTTATAGTCCATTCATCCAGCCCATACTTTAACTTGCTGGCAAGAATACTGTGGGAGACTGTATCAAAAGCTTTGCTAAAGTCAAGGAATAACACATCCACTTCTTTCCCCTCATCCACAGAGCCAGTTATCTCCTCATAGAAGGCAATTAGGTTAGTCAGGCATGACATGCCCTTGGTGAATCCATGCTGACTGTTCCAGATCACTTTCCTCTCCTCTAAGTGCTTCAGAATTGATTCCTTGAGGACCTGCTCCATGATTTTTCCAGGAACTGAGGTGAGGCTGACTGGCCTGTAGTTCACCGGATCCTCCTTCTTCCCTTTTTTAAAGATGGGAACTACATAGCCTTTTTCCAGTCATCCGGGACCTCCCCCGATCACCATGAGTTTTCAAAGATAATGGCCAATGGCTCTGCAATCACATCCACCAACTCCTTTAGCACCCTCGGATGCAGCACATCCGGCCCCATGGACTTGTGCTCATCCACTTTTTCTAAATAGTCCCAAACCACTTCTTTCTCCACAGAGGGCTGGTCACCTTCTCCCCATACTGTGCTGCCCAGTGCAGCAGTCTGGGAGCTGACCTTGTTCGTGAAGACAGAGGCAAAAAAATCATTGAGTACATTAGCTTTTTCCACATCCTCGGTCACTAGGTTACCTCCCTCATTCAATAAGGGGCCCGCAGTTTCCTTGACTTTCTTCTTGTTGCTAACATACCTGAAGAAACCCTTCTTGTTACTCTTAATATCTCTGGCTAGCTTCAACTCCAAGTGTGATTTGGCCTTCCTGATTTCACTCCTGCATGCCTGAGCAATATTTTTATACTCCTCCCTGGTCATTTGTCCAATCTTCCACTTCTTGTAAGCTTCTTTTTTGCGTTTAAGATCAGCAAGGATTTCACTGTTTAGCCAAGCTGGTCGCCTGCCATATTTACTGTTCTTTCTACACATCGGGATGGTTTTTTCCTGCAACTTCAATAAGGATTCTTTAAAATACAGCCAGCTCTCCTGGACTCCTTTCCCCCTCATGTGATTCTCCCAGGGGATCCTGCCCATCAGTTCCCTGAGGGAGTCAAAGTCTGCTTTTCTGAAGTCCAGGGTCCGTATTCTGCTGCTCTCCTTTCTTCCTTGTGTCAAGATCCTGAACTCGACCATCTCATGGTTACTGCCTCCCAGGTTTCCATCCACTTTTGCTTCCCCTAGTAATTCTTCCCAGTTTGTGAGCAGCAGGTCTAGAAGAGCTCTGCCCCTAGTTGTTTCCTCCAGTACTTGCACCAGGAAATTGTCCCCTACACTTTCCAAAAACTTCCTGGATTGTCTGTGCACTGCTGTATTGCTTTCCCAGCAGATACCAGAGTGATTAAAGTCTCCCATGAGAACCAGGGCCTGCGAGCTAGTAACTTCTGCTAGTTGCTGGAAGAAAGCCTCGTCCACCTCATCCCCCTGGTCTGGTGGTCTATAGCAGACTCCCACCATGACATCACCTTTGTTGCTCACACTTTTAAACTTAATCCAGAGACTCTCAGTTTTTTCTGCAGTTTCATACTGGAGCTCTGAGCAGTCATACTCCTCTCTTACATACAATGCAACTCCCCCACCTTTTCTGCCCTGCCTGTCCTTCCTGAGCAGTTTATATCCATCCATGACAGTACTCCAGTCATGTTAGTTATCCCACCAAGTCTCTGTTATTCCAATGACATCATAGTTCCCTGACTGTGCCAGGACTTCCAGTTCTTCCTGCTTGTTTCCCAGGCTTCTTGCATTTGTGTATAAGCACTTAAGATAACTCGTTGATTGTCCTGCTTTCTCAGTCTGAGACAGGAGTCCTCCCCTCTTGCACTCTCCTGCTCATGCTTGCTCCCGGTATCCCATTTCCTCACTTACCTCGGGGCTTTGGTCTCCTTCCCCCAGTGAACCTAGTTTAAAGCCCTCCTCACTAGGTTAGCCAGCCTGCTTGCGAAGATGTTCTTCCTTCTCTTTGTTAGGTGGAGCCCGTCTCTGCCTAGCACTCCTCCTTCTTGGAACACCATCCCATGGTCGAAGAATCCAAAGCCTTCTCTCCGACACCAGCTGCGTAGCCATTCGTTGACTTCCACAATGTTCCTTTCATATTTTTAATTGTTTATGTTTAATACAGAAGTGTCCTGTATTTGCCTTTTTTGTGTTTTGGGTCTCCTGCTCTTTCATAGAATCATAGAATATCAGGGTTGGAAGAGACCTCAGAAGGTCATCTAGTCCAAAACTCTACTCAAAGCAGGACCAATCCCCAGACAGATTTTTAAACCAGTTCCCTAAACAGCCCCCTCAAAGATTGAACTCACAACCCTGGGATTAGCAGGCCAATGCTCAAACCACTGAGCTATCCCACCCCCCAATGGCTTAAATGAGATTTGTGAATGATCGGTCAGTTCGTAACTCTATGGTTCTACTGTAGATGTTGTGCATGTAGTGTCTCATATTAACATTATGTCTCCATCCAGGCATTTGTCCTGCAACCATCATCGTAGACCCTGGGCACATAAAGAAAGTCAAAGGGACATAAGGTACATGCAGGAATTTCTCCCCTGCTACATGTCAGAGTCCAACACAACCGACTTCACTAACCCCTCCACCTTCATCCTGCTGGGCATTCCTGGCCTGGAGATGACCCAAGTCTGGATCTCCATCCCCTTTTGCACAATGTACGCCATAGCCATCTTGGGGAACTTCACCATCCTGTTCATCGTGAAGATGGAACCGAGCCTCCATGTGCCCATGTATCATTTCCTCTGCATGCTGGCTGTCACTGACCTGGTCCTGTCCACATCCACCCTGCCCAAAATGCTGAGCATCTTCTGGTTCAATTCCAGGGAGATCAATTTCAGTGCCTGCCTCACCCAACTGTACTTCATTCACTGCTTCTCAGTGATGGAGTCTGGGATCTTCGTGGCCATGGCTTTGGATCGCTACGTGGCCATCTGTGATCCCCTGAGGCATTCTACCATCCTGACAAACCCTGTGGTGGCCAAGATTGGCTTGGCTGTGGTGCTGCGTGGCGGCATGCTTGTACTGCCCTATCCCTTCCTGGCGAGGCAATGGCCATATTGCAGAACCAATATCATCCCCCACACATATTGCGAGCACATAGCCGTGGTGAAGCTGGCCTGCACCGACATCCGCATCAGTAGTTACTATGGCCTCTTTGTGGCATTTTTGGTGACCGGTCTGGATGTATTTTTTATCGCTGTGTCCTATATTCAGATCCTCAGGGCCATTTTCAGCCTCCCCACAAAGGACTCCCGGCTGAAGACTTTTGGAACCTGCAGCTCCCACCTCTGTGTCATCTTAATCTTTTACATCCCATCTCTCTTCTCCTTCCTCATGCACCGGTTTGGGCACAATTTGGCCCTGCATTTCCACATTCTCATTGCCAATGTGTACCTCCTTCTGCCCCCCATGCTAAACCCCATCATCTACGGGGTGAGAACCAAACAGATCCGGAACAGGCTGCTCCAGCTCTTTTCTCATAAAGGGACCTAAAGATTTTTCTCCTTGTGCTTTGACTCTCAGACTGAGCTCCACTGGCTGGTGACATGGTGCCCTGAGCTCCACTGGCTGCCAGACCCTCTTCCCTGAATCACTTACTGGGCTGTCAAAGGATACGTCCAGACTACCCGCCGGATCGGCAGGTAGCGATCTATCTATCGGGGATCGAAATATCGCGTCTTGTCTAGACGCGATATATCAATCTCCGAACGCGCTCCCGTCGACTCCGGAACTCCACCAGGGCGAGCAGTGGTAGCGGAGTCGACGGGGGAGCTGCAGCCGTCGATCCCGTGCCGTGAGGACGGGAGGTAAGTTGAAAAAAGATACGTCGACTTCAGCTACGCTATTCCCCCCCGCCAGTATAGACCAGCCCAAAAAGACATTAAATCCTTTCCTGACCTTACTGTGCTCTGTCAGCGTGACAAACTGGGGGATTTGTCTATGTACAACTCATATGGTTTCCACCTTATAAGTGCTGGTGAGTGGAATATTGAGACCGCGCCCCCTAACCTGCCTCTTCCACCAAGGCCTCCTCTCTGCCCCACCTCCTTCTCCAATGCCCCTCCACTATGAGTGGAAGGGGAGATGGGCTGGGAGATCCCAAACCTGAGGGGAGGTGTCCACAAGATGTTCTCTTCACCCAAATGTGGCCCATTTTCCTCTGCCCTCAGTGTTTCCTGGAGTGCTCTGATTCCTGGACTGATCCAGCCTGGTTGCCCTGAAGTAAATGTTCCCTGAACCAGGCAGAGACAGTTTGGGTTCAGGGAGGTGGTTTGTCTCTCCCTTGGAAACTCTCTCTCTCCCCATGCATTTTGGTCCATCTCTCACTTTCCTATGTAATTCACCCCCACCACCGCACACACACACACCTCCTTCTCTCTGACACTTTGAATGTGCATCATGTGACACTCTATACCTCGGGGATTCCTCTGTAACCCCCATATTTCTCATTTATGTATAATTGTGATATTACATATAAAGCATGCCATGTAAGGTATCAGGGGAGAGGTTATGACCTGGTGAAAGTCACTGTTCTATCTAAATGTCTATATCATTAGTGCATATGAAATGATAAGATTGTGATGTATGGTTGTCAGTAAACATGCTGTAATTTGGGGAATCAGCCAGATCTTGGCTCCCCAGAGGCAACGGCAAGGAAAGTAACCAATGCCCGGGCGGGTGTCAAACAATGATCACCAGCCATTGTCCAGCAAGAGAGCTACAATTCAATGACTCACCTGCATGAGGCCACAGCAAGGGAATTGCTCAACCTTGCCTGGAGACTCAGCAATGCCCCCTAGACATGCCTGGACTTGTGTTCTCCAAGCACATGGCACTAAGGATATAAAACAGAACACAATGGCCACATACTGGGCCTTTCTCCTTCTCCCACCTACGCTGCAAGCAACAATGACACTCGGAAGACTGAAGACTCCCAACGAGAAGACTGGCCCAGGTTTCAAGGGAGAAACATGTATATCCAGTGGGGTGAGAAAAAACTGCTTAATCTAGATGTTGCCCAGTCTAAAAGGGTTGAGAGTTTAGACTGCTTGCCTATATTTTCTTCTCTCGATAATCACTCTGACTTTTTGCCCATCACTTATAATCACTTAAAATCTGTCTTTTGTTCATCAATAAACTTGTTTTACTGTTCATCTTTGTCAGTGAGTTTGTCTGAAGTGTTTGGTAAATCTGCTCAGGTTTACAGAGGCTGGTGTATAAACACTTTCCATTCATGAAACGGTGAACCAGTTCATATATATACACCTTATATATTAGGTATATTCTTAAGGTACAAGGCTGGGAGCTGGGTTGATTCAGCTGGTGCATTTCTCTGTGTGATTCTTGTTTAGGACTCGTAGCATGTACAGGCCCAGATGTTTTTGGAGGCAAGCTGTAACCACGATAGGTCCCAGGTGGTCCAGTCTGGGGACAAGCCAAGTGTCTGGTTTCTTTACCCATTCACCGCTGCCTCCTGTAGGGAGTTGCAGATACTGGCCAGCTTTGAAACAGGTATCTTGCGTAACATGTACCAAGGGCAGATCCCAGGAGGCTGCATCAAGTATGTTTGCCAGGAGGATTAACGTGGGGAGTCACATTTGTTACCTAAAAGGATACAATAAAAACAAAATGAATTTATTTATACATTTTAATTCTGGTTTTATGAACCCATGTTGGAATTCCTTGCACTTCCACAGAGATATTTGTATGGCCAATACCATGACCTGATTTCCCTCCTGTACGTCTGCCCAAGAGGGGGTCTCTGGAGGGTCCTGGGCTTAGGAGGGTGCACTTTTACAAGGAACCAGTATGCCTTGCTGAAGTAAAGAGTGAATAATGTCACCTACTGCGTCTATGGCCTCAGATTTGAGGGGGATTGCTTGGTAGGTGGAGGAAATTGACTGGTAACCTGGATGGGTGGGCAAAGATGAGCAGGGATCGAACTGAAAGACAGCTTATTTTCTGCCCAAACAGAGGGGAACGTGGAACATAATTCTTGAAAAGGTTTAGATGTATTCCAAGTAAAAGCCACAGATTTGGCAGTTGTATCAGAAGAAAGAAATGTATCATTGCGGAGGGGGATGGTATGAGTACACATAAGTTTATCGGTAACTGTACTCTAAGCGAGGTTAAGAATTGCTACAAAGTCACAGAGGACGTCCATGATCCAGTTAGTCCCCTTTGCATTTGAAGCTACATAAAAAAAAAATGAGTCCAGAAGAATAGATTAGATTTTTTAAGAACAGGGTAGCTTTTATAAGCCATGAGTTGTGCACCTCCTATCCCTGAAATAGTAATATACTTTCTAGTAGTGGGGAGGGGGAGGTCAGTAATGGAAACAGACGCTTCCGTGTCCACGAGAATGGTGTATGGCCGGCCCCTTATCCATGGTTGTAAGTGTGGCCTCAAGGGATTTATCTCTCGAGGGATTTATACCTAGCAGGTCATGGAATTTAAAAGCTTGGCCATTTCCTCTTTACTCAGGGGTGAATAAGGGTTGGCAGTTGGTTGAGACACAGGGTGGAGCTGTTGTTGGTTACCCAGGGTTATTCGGCTTGGACACCCGGCTGCCCAATGTCCGGTCTCTCCGCACACAAAACACTGGGAGGTGGGGGGGGGGGACAGTGGGGACAGGACCAGGTCGAAAAGGCAATGAAGTACTGCAGGGATTCAACTGGCCATGATTCTGTCCCTGACTAAGCTTCTGGGTTTTGCGCCTACAGTTTTTTGCTCCGTATCTCTTTGGCCTGCCTGGCTTTGCATTCAGAGGCCCACATACAGATAGATTCATAATCAGAGCCTGGGTTCACTCCCAAATTAAGGGCTGTTTGCAGGTGGGAGTTAAAACCTTCCTTTAACATCTTTAAAAATGCCTGATCCGTTTTTGTTTTTTGTGGGGGGGGAGGGGAATTCTGCAATACCTGCATTGCTGGAATACATCTCCCACTTTCTTTCACAGTATTGAGAGGCAGGGTCATCCTTGCTTTGTACGCAGCCCGCGATCAGTCCTCAGCCCGTGATCAGTCCCCAATTACTGGCTCCGTTCCCCAAGGCTTCTTGGACGGCTTCCTTAAACTCAGTGCAGGCACAGGACATATCATTTTCAGATTCAAATTTAACAGAGGTCCAAACGCCGTTTTGGTGCCCTTCTGTAGGGATCTTGGCTCATGATAGATCAGGGCATTTAGCTTTTGTTAAGATATAAAGATCCCTGGGATGTAACGTATAGATGGTAACCATCTGGCTTATTCTTTTCCAGACTTCTCATCTCCCTTTGGGAAGGTCCCTTAATTACTGTTTATTCTGAAAGCTGGATAAAGATCACAGAAGTGCAGACATAGAAAGAGAGAGATTGGCTAGAGTGTCTCTGGTGTCCAGCCTGTTTGCATTCATATGTTGCTTCTCTTCAAAAGACTGAGTGAACTCCCCTGGGATTGCACAGAGCTATATTATAAATGGTGCAAACCACTGTGTCAGCTTTTGGTGTGAGCTGTTGCTGCAGATACTGGAATGACAGAGGTGTGGGACACGGCTACCTAAGGGGGATTCCAGGAAAGACACTTCTACCCCAATGTTCACAGGTACCCATGTCTTGCTGAGGAGCTCACCTGCTCGACAAGCCCAGTGCAACAACATATGCATGGTGGGATAGAGAGTAAGTCTGTGGTCAGAAAGCTAAGGTTTTCCCATGCCATGTGCTGGGTGGCTTGTGATTGGAACAAAGGCAGTACAGGCTGCAAGGCAAAAGGACTATAAAAGGCAACTGCATCATCTCCATTTTGTCTTCAATCCTGCTTCTGACCTCTGGAGGGACTTTGCTACAAATTGAAGCTCTGAACAAAGGACTGAAGGACCCATCCCAGCTGTGGATGTACTCCAGAGACTTGATTTGAACCTGCAGTTTATTCCACCACTGCTACAAGCCTGAACCAAGAACTTTGCCATTACTGTATGAAATTGATTCCATTTAACCAATTTTAACTCTCGTCTATATTTCTTTCTTTTATGAATAAACCTTTAGATTTTAGATTCTAAAGGATTGGCAACAGCGTGATTTATGGGTAAGATCTGATTTGTATATTGACCTGGGTCTGGGGCTTGGTCCTTTGGATTGGGAGAAAATCTTTTTTTTCTTTTCCTGGAGTATTGGTTTTCATAACTGGTCATCCACATAATGAGTGGCCCTTGTGGTGATACCGGGAAACTAGTGACTAAGGGAATTGCTTATGGTTAGTGTGATGTTATTGACATAAACTGTGAACATATAGATCATTGTTGCAACCACTGTTATATATTTGCAGCAAATATTGTACAAAGTTTGTCGTGTGAGGTGTCTATAAAACATTATGATTTGCTGGTTATGATTATGCTGTCAGTATGCGTGTATCATTTTGTATTTGAAGTTATGAATATTGGCTCTGTACTTGTATCTCAAATGTATTTGATTCTAAGTAACACCAGTGAAGCATTTGGTCAGCTTCTTGAGAAAGGAC